CATTCATCCATCAACAGACACTTAGGTTGTTTCTGTATCTTGGCTATTGTGAATAACACTGCAATGAACATGAGGGTGCAAATATCTCTTCAAGACACTGATTTCATTTCCTTTGGTTATATACCCAAAAGTAGAATAGTTGGCTCATCTGGTAGTTCTAGTTTTCATTTTTGAGGACCCTCCATGCTGGTTTCCATAGTGACTGCACCATTAATCACTGTTCCTAAGTGTGGGACAGTAGCCTATCAGGCACACCCACCACGTCATGCTATCAGCAGGCACCTAGGTCCCCTCCAGTTCCTGCTGCCCAAACAGCACTGCTGTGAACCTCTCTGCAGCGTGCCTCAGTGGACCAGTAAGAGTGTGTATACCCAGAAATAGGATTGCAGGGATCATGGTATATGTGCATTCTTAATTCCACTAAATACCTTGCAGAATGGCTATTCCAATTTATACTCCCATCAGCAGTGAATAAGGTTCTCATTTCCCCCGCGTCCTTGCCAGCACTTGACTTCCTCTCTAATTGTTGTCAATTGAATGAGTGTAAAGAGATGGCTCAGCGATGTTTGTTTTAAATTGCGTTTCTCTCCTTACTAGTGATTATAAGCACGTCTTCATATGCACATTAGACCCCTGGGGTCCATCTTCTGTGAACTGCTGTTTATATGCTTCCCGACTTCTCTAATAGGTTTCCAATCTATTTCTTCCTCTCAGGGCTCCTTCAGTGCTGGATGTCTTCCGTTTGTCCTCAACATCCACTGTCTACCGTTCTCCACTCTTTCCGTGGCTTCAAAGGCTGTATGGCTGCATGAGCATGCTCCCTGGCCATCTGGCTTCCAGGCCAGGCAGGAGCTCAGAGGGAGGAAAAGGAGAGAAATGAATATACTGACTCCCCAGCTCCCTCCCTGGCAGGTGACTGTGGACTAAGTCCCTCCTGCAACCAGAAGTCACAGCTCCTGTATCTCCACGCAGCATCCTCTCTCTCTGGATTCCTGAAGACACTACCAACTCCCCACTGCTGGGATACCTGCGTGCCCGCCCTATTTTGGTGGCTTCCCTAATCCTGCTCACAGGATTTTGTAAATCCTCTCTTTATTAAAACATCTTCCAATTACCCATTTCACATAGGCCATCTGTTTCTTGCTGGGCACCTGATGGATACATTGTCATTGAGCTGAAAATTTTAATTTGCATGCAATTTCACTGATTTTTTTTTTCTTTTTTGGCTTTTTGGCTTTTTGGTATGTGCTTTGGAGGCCTTATCGTTGAAGCCCTTCTGTACTCCTAGATAGAAGATTCTCCTTCCTTTTTTTCTATTACTTCTGTACTTTCAATCTTTTATATTTAGATCTCAAATCTATCCATCATCCATCTTTGTATGTGTTGTTGGGTATGGATTTTTTTTCTTCATATGGAGAGCCAATTCTCCCAATAATATCTTTCCTCTACCAACTTGAGGTGCCTCCCTTATTATATATTAAGTTCCTGTTTACGCACATTTCTGTCTCTGAGCCTCCCATGCCGTTGGTCTCTGTCTGTGCTGTATCATTACCACACTGTCTTTATGGACACGGCTTTGTGGTATACTCTAATGCCTGGTAAGTCTAGTTTCCCTTTCTCTCAACTTTTGCTTTTTTTTCTCCCAAATTGACTTTTATCCTTCTGTGTGGGTTTTTTTTTTCCTTTAAATTTGTTGAGATGCTTTTAAAAATCCAGCTGAAATTTGTATTTTTATTACATTGAATTTACATATGAATTCGGCAAGGATTTTAGTCTTTTTTCTTGTCTACTTTTTATATATCATTATGATGATAGTTGACTGATACACCTGCTGAAGCCCCTTATTAGGCTGATTGTTTATTGATGCCATTGATTGTCCATGTGGATGATCGTATTGTTTCATCGCTTGCTTTCGTAGATGCACTTTTCTCTTTCTCTTCTCTCCTTTCTCTTGCCTGGAATGCATCACAGCTGGAGCAGGACAGTCGTCTTGGAACATGTGATAGAATCCACATGTTGAGAACAGCAGAGGAACAATGTAGAAGCGGTCAAGATCCTAAAAGATTTTATCATAAATAGGTGTTGAACTTTTGCCAAGTGTTTTTTCTGCATCCTGTAATTCTTCCTTTTGGACTCCCTTAATCTAGTCTTCTGTACTGCCTATGTCTATTTTATTAATAGATTTTTCTGATGTTAAACTATCTTTGGAGGGGGAGGGTATAGCTCAGTGGTAGAGCACATGCTTAGCATGCATGAGGTCCTGGGTTCAATCCCCAGTACCTCCATTTACAAAATAAATAAACAAAACAAAAAAAATTGAATAAACAAATAAATAAATAAAACTAATTACCTCCCGCCCAAAAAAGTAAAATAAAATAAAATAAATCTATTTTTTAAAACCATCTTTGGGTTTTTACTCAAGGTATATATGCTACTTGAACATGTTATCACTTTTAATACACCAGTGGATTGGGTTAGCTCAAATTTTATATAGGAATTTTACATCTTTGGTCATTATAGTGAAAATTCTCTATTTGAAATTTGTTTAAAACTTGCTTTATGGCCAAGTATTTGCTCAATTTTTTAAAAATGTGCCAGTGTACTTGAAAAGTGAGTATTCTGTAGCTGACAAGTGCGCTCAGCTAAATGCATCCACTGGCTCATTATACTTCAGCCTTCAAAACATCTGTGCTTAGTGATTTTTTTTTTGGTCTGCTTGATCTGTCAGTTACTGAGAGAGGCATTACAGTCTCCTACTGTGAATATAGATTTGCATATTTTTTCTTGTACTTCCAAATTTTTTTTTAATTGAAGTGCCACCTTTTTTATTTCATGTATTTTGTGGCCATGTTATTCAGTGCATGTATTTAACACTGGTATACCTTTCTGTTGAATAAAACCTTTTACCATTAGGAAGTGACCCTCTTATCTCTACTAATAGTTTTTGTTATAAAGTGTACTTTGTAAGAAAATTACGTCATTAGAATTTTCCTACCTTTTTTGTACTTTCACTTTCAAACTCTCTGTCTAGATATGTGTCTTGGGCGTGTGGTTGGACTTTATTTTTTATTCTGTCTGGAAGTTGTCTCTTCAAAGGATAATTTAGTCTTTTGCATTTAATATAATCAGCAACATATTTGGATTCATAACTAATCTTTTGATTTTTCTTATTTACCTGTTCTATTTTCCTCTCCTTCCTGTTTTCCTTCAGATTAATGTTTTTTTTCCTTCATTTCTCCCCTTTATAAATTTGGAAGCTATAAGCTCTGTTTCTAAGGGATTAACCTAAAAATTATAACCCTGGTAGGAGAAACTGTCTTTATTCTGCTGTTTCAAATCTGATTTTGTTATATAATTACATCCTCTGCATCTGTGCTTCTGTGACCTTTCTCCTCTCTAAAGTCATGTTTGTTTCCTTTTTTCTCCTCCATATTTATTTACCTTTCCAAGAGTCAGATTATTCTTTTGTTTATGATATCCACATTTTTATTTTCTAGTGCATTAATTTTTGCTTTTTAAAAAGAGTTCCTCCTATTTTGCTATCCTCTTTTCAAGTGTCTTGATTTAAAATGTAGCTTATTTCAATTCAGCCTTTCTTATTTTTTTAATAAATGCCCTTAAGGTTAAATAATTTTCCTTTTGCAAATTTCTTCATAACATCCCACAGTCTCGGTATGTAGTGCTCTCTTGTTCATTTCTAAACCACTCGACTGTTTCATTTTTATTTCCTCTTAAAGTTGTCTAGAAAGATGATGAGAAATGGATGTTGATTGATCTTTTTTGGCTATACTTTTGTGTTCATTTCTAACCTTATTTTACTGTGGTCACAGCATTGCTCCTTTTTAGAATCAGTGTAGGTTTTATTGGTGGCTAATACTTGGTGAATTTTGGTTGATAAACCCATAAGTAGCCATAAAGTCTTCATCTGTTTGTCCCGTTCACTCCCATCCTGGGTCGTAGATCCTATTTGTTTTAGGTTTTCTCTTCCATGGTATTGGTTTTCCTCCCACGCTGGTGACTCTGGGTTACGGGTTCCTGTCTGCATTTGTTGTATCTGTTACCTGTCTGTGGATGCTGCTTCTGATCACACTGGGGTGGTTCTGCTCCTGGGGGCATTGCTAGAGGTAGGATGGCCCCAGTGAAACCCAACAGGAGACTGCAGAGCCCTGCCAGGTGCAAAAGCCCTTCCGTGACCTTTCTCTTGTTTGTTAAAAAAAAAAAAAAAAAGTTGTGATCTCCCGAGCCTCCCCAGAGTCACAAAAGAGCAAATTTAAGCGGTTAATGACTAGGACAAAAGAATCACTGAATCTTTAGTTCCTCCCTGAGGGACAGAGGTAGCAGTATCTAATGAATCTTCCTGGGTTGTTTTGCAGATACTAAAACCACCACCAAATGGGAAAAGCTAACTGAGTAACGACCAGACTGTAGCCAAGACATAAGCTGCTCCATCTTGAGCAATCCTGAGTCTATGGCTTGGAGAATTCCAAGAACTGGCCTCAAGGAAATGGGAAAAAACCACCCCTGGAACTGAAGAGTAACTGTGCTTAAAACAGTCAAGATGACACTGATCAGACTACTGCATGACCAGTTCCAAGATGATTGTTGCATGTAGCCCCTGAAACTCCCGTTTAAAAGCTTTTGCCGCTGATCATCGAGGGGAGATAGTTCTTTGGGAAATGAGTTCATCTTCTCTCCAGGATTGCCGCCTTCCTCAATAAAGCTATCTTTCCTTTCACCCAGTGCTTGTCTCTCAGTATTGGATTCCTGAGCCTTGAGCAGCTGAACCTGAGTTCAGTAACACCAGGAACAATACCATTTTACAGCTGAGACTGAGAGAGTAGACTAACCTACCCTAACTCACATGCCCATAAATAACAAATGCAGGCCACCTGGCCCGAAGCGCAGCCGAACTCAGGGTGATCGCTGCCTGCCCTAGGCTTCCCAGTGCCAGCCAGCCCACTCCCAATTCCTAATCCCCATCAAGCAGACAACTCAGAATGTTTAGTGTATTTCTCTTCTTTTTACTCTAAAAAAAAAAGTCGACAATAATAACCTGCAAACTACAGAAAGTGGCGTGGTTTCGATATTTCCGCCCCTCCAAACATTATTCTCCTTGCCTCAGACACCACCCTTTCTCTTCCCTCGAAATCTTAGATGAAAATCCCCCAGAAAGTGGAGGAGGCCCCCCATAGGAGGGTCCCCAAGCCAGGGCCCCTATGGCAGTTAAAGGCTTTGCGGAAATAAATTAGGGGAGGGGGGTGCTAGCTGTCCCTGCCCCGCTTTGTCTCGCAGACCCAGCGGTAGGGCCTCTGGCAGACGTCATCGTTCCAGCGGCCGTCGTCGGTGAAGTGCGCACAGTCCTCGCCTCCCCCGAGCCCGTGCCCGTACCAGTCGTCCGGCTGCTCTGGTCTCCAGTTCCTAGAGAGACCAGACGGATCCGGGCCCCAGGGGGCCAGACCTTCAGCCGATTGGAGGAGCGCCCGGCGGCCTGGGACCTGCCAGGCTGGGACGGTGGGGCACAAGCGGAGCCGAAAAGCTGCGGGACGCGCACACTCACTTGAAGCCCGTCTCGTAGTCCGTCCCGTCTACCCATTTCCAGGGCCCGTTTTGGTCGGTGAGGCCCATCCAGGTGTTCACGGGGCCCATGTGGTGCTGGATAAATTTCTGGGGAGAGAGGAAGGGGTGGTGACCTCTCCTGAGACCCTCCAGCCTCCCAGCTGAGCCCTCCCAGGCCCTCACCTGCTCCTCCCAGGAGCCGACCACCACCAGGTGAGCGCTCTCCAGCTCGCAGTACTTCGCAGCCTCAGGCCAGGGCTTCCCAGAGCGGGAGAACCAGTAGCAGCTGCCTTCATAATCCATCCAGTTAACTGGGCAGCAGGTCCCTTCGGAGCCTGGCAGGGGGAAGTGGGAGGGTGGGCAGAGGAAAGATGAGAGGTTGAGGGGAAGTGGTTAGGAAAAACAAGGCTGGGTGCCCCGCCTCCTCACCGTTGCCCTGGAGGACAGCCAACTGACAGCTCAGGCTTCGCAGGTCAGCCACAAACTGTTTCACGTGGAGCAGCAAGCTGGAGTGATCTGGGGAAACACGGCAGAGGGGGAGTGGGGAAGAGAGTGGGGGAGGGAAAGGAAGTCCCTATGACCACTGGGGCCTGAGAAGGCTCTGTCATCTCTGTGCTAGGGGCCGAAGATCAATCAGAGATGCTCCTGCCACAAGGCTTCTTGGTTTGGCCTGAGAGACCCCTGCATCCTGGGCAAAGGCACACTCGCGCATGCGCACAAACGCTCCCTCGCTGACCTTCACTCAGGTCCTGCTGCTGTTTCTCCAGCTGGGACTCCAGGGACTTCATCTTTTTGCCCACATTTCCTCCTGGGAGAGAGACTTGTTTAGTGTCTCAAGGTCCCTACATTCCCAGCCGCGCCTCCCAGCTCTGCCCCCCAGCCCTCCTCACCCTGGATGCTCAAGGCCTTGACCTGGGCATCTGTGCTCACTGTGAGATTGCTGAACGTCTCTCTAAGGGCCCGCAGCTCCTCCTGCAGCTTGGAGTCTGGGCAGAAGTTGTGAACAAGACAAAATCAGGAGGCTGTGTCCACCATCACAGCAGCCAGCCCTTCCGCAGCCACTTCCCCCACCCCAACCGCCAATATTGCTCCCTTCCCAGCCCATCCCCCCAGAGAACCCACTTTGGGATCCGATCACACAGACAACCACCAGCAGCAGGAGGCTAAGGCCCATGGAGAGCAGGAGCAGGCGGGGTCCCGAGCAGAGACGGCGAAAGAGTGATTGGGGAGGAGGCGGCCCTGCAAGAGGAGAGGGCGTCAGGGGCTCAGGGACAGAGGGGAGCCTAGGCCAGCTCTGAGGTCCTAGGAGCAGCCTGAGCCTCCTCTAGCAGACTAGGAGGAAACATACAGATTAAGAAATCTGGGCGGTAGGTGACCCGAAGAATCCCGAGGAAACTGGAGGTGGGGAACAGTGAGAAGTCTTGACCTGCTTTAGTCCTAACCAGGCCCTGGGCATTTGCTGACACCTAGTGGCCGAACTGAGTCACCGCATCACATGAGCTCAGCCTGGAGGATGGATTTGGCGAGCCGGAGGAGACCGCGGGGGCTGGGCAGCCTTGCAGGTGGGGCGAGAGAAGTGAGTTTCTTGCTCTCCCCATGAATCCCACTCCTCCTCGTTGGCTGGGCGCAGGGAGATGAGGCAAAGTAACTAGACTTCAGGTCCCTCAAGTTGCTCCCACCCGGGAGTCCTGTGAGCTGGAATATGGGGGCCTCGGCTCCATCCTTTTCAGCAGCCCTTTTCCCCATTAAAGAAAACTGCCCACTCCCATCCGCCAAGAATGTCAACCCGGCGGCCCATACAGCATCCCTGCTTCCAGGAGAAAGGGGGGTTGTTTTTCGATGTAGAAAGACCTCATCCTCCCCTCAACCTTTTCACAGAAATCTTACCCCTCAACCAAACTCATCCCAGCACCTTGTGCACTCACACTCACACACTCATTCACACTCACATACACACACTCACACACATACTTACACACTTGGCCAAGGCTCACAGGGTGTTGGAAGAGGAAAGGAGAAAGGGGTCTAACTTCCAGTTACTGCCATGCCCCTGGGCACCCCCCTCCCCAGGGTCCTGAGAAGCAGGTGACAAGGCAAGGGACAGGAGGGTCATGCAGAAGCCTTGGGGCACGTGTCACCAAGAAAGGGAATCCAGCCCTACGCCCTGCATCTCCGCTAGGAGAGACGGCTCAGACGCCGCCGGGTCTGACCCAGAGAGAGGCTGGGGGCACAGAGAGGAACAGCAGCTGGGGCCACATAATCTTGCCTTTGAGAAATGGGGGGAGATGTCCCCTCACCTTTTCTGTGTTGATGGTCATTCTCCTCGTTGTCCAGATGCTGAAGATCTTGATATTCCTTTGTCATGGTAGGGCCAGCTGGACCTGGGACCAAGTCAAGGCTGGGGTTAGGGGCTGAGGCTGGGGCTGAACGGAGTTGGGGTGTGGGGTCCAGTCCCTTTCAAAGTTATTGACAGCTATGTGGAGTCCTTCGTTTTTTCTCCCTTTCCCTCCCAGGATTGACATCCAGAATCTATCTTCTGAAGATTTCCCACCCAGTCCCCACCCGTCCTGTCACGGCCCCCCCATCCCCTCCCCAACCTCACCCACCCCCAGTCGGTTCCCCTGCCTTTCTTCCCCTTTTACTTGCTGAATGTCTTGAGGTTGACTCCTAGGTCCCTCAATGCTGCGCAGATCCCAGGCTAAGAGACAGGCCGAAGGCTGGAGTATTAGGGTGTGCAGACAGCCCTGGATGGTCAGGGGGAGGGGGTAGGGTCCCTTCGAGGGCCCTGAGCCCTGTACGTCTATGTGTCTGTGTGTCTGAGTGTCTATGTGTCCAAACACACCAAACTTGGCATCTCCAGTGCCCAGGACTTTGGACGTAAACAGAGGTAGAAATGGATTTGGAACTCAGCGGGCGTGCGGGGGAGGGGGGTGGGAGCGGGGGATGGGTTGCCTCTTCTTTCCTTCCCAGGGACTGGGGAGTCTCCCGGTCTGTCCCTCATCCTCATCTCAGTCACGTCACTCCTCGAGGCCCGGTTTAGGGGGGAGAAGGCCAGGAGGGGCAGGGTGCATGTTGCTGTTTCCCCTCTGCCCCTCCCCCCTTTCACTTCCTGCCTCTGAATTTCCCAGAATCGCTGGTGGATCAGGATCAGAGGGGTCGATCTCCGCTCTTGCCCAATCGGGCCTGTGACCCTGGCATATGAGCCTAGGCTCAGCTTTCTTGGGGTCAGCCCTCGGACTCTTCAGTTCCAAGCTGAGTGTCTCCACTCTCTGGGGAAGTAAAGTCCTCCGAGCTGAATGGGGGGCAGTCGGGGGACAGGCAGGCCAGCTGGCTTTTCCCACTCAGCCAGGATTGGTGCCAGAAAAGCTCCGTGGACCCCTGTGTGCTTTTCATTCTTAACCTCCTCCCACTAGCCCCAGAGCACATCCTTGTTTGATTCACAGGTAAGGAAACCCAGGCTCTGAAGGATAAGAGCTTACCCAGGGTCCCACTGCAAGGAACAGCAGAGGGAGGACTGGAACTCAGGCAGTTGGACTCCAGGGTCTATGTGCTGCCCCCAGAACCAGATCGCACACATCACCACAGCTGGGCCCTGCGGTCCCCGAGAGGCTGACAGTCGTCCTCACAGCACAGCCCCACGGCGGGTTCAGGGAGGGATGTGTTCAGAGAGGAGTGTGCGAATTGGAATTATGCTAAACTAGAAACTGGGCAATCTTAAAGACATTAATAAGATGTTAATAATTCTCACTTTAGGCCCCAAATGTGAAGTCACACAAATCCTATGTCACAGTTATTTCAATGAGAAAACTAGACTTGAGTTATGAGCGTTTACATTATGTGAGATATTCAGGAACACGTTCCTCACATAAAATAAGCAGGCCTGGGGCGCCCTCACTGGTCTATTTCTTGAAAACCTCTGTTTTACTTGCATGCGCTGGGACCGTGGCCAGGAATTTTGGTGACTGTTGGGCTGTTAATTTGGCTTTTCCTCATATGCTCACTCACAATCTGGTTTATTCAGACAAACACACCTACGCTGTTTCGGTCAGAAGTGGTCACCCTCACAGGAGCAGAGATGGGAAGGGAGCTTCCGGGCGATGGAAGCGCGCCACTTCTTGGTCTGGGCGTCGGTTTCAGGGGTGTGTTGTGTTCAGTTTGTAAAATGGCCGAAAGGTCTACACGTGATCTGTGCATCCTTCTGTTCGCCTCTTACACTGGAATAAGATGTCCTTGAAAGCTGGTTCTACCCTGTAACCACGTTCCCGAACCCATTGATTAGGGAGCAGGGCTTGGACCAGTGCTGAAAAACACCCGAAGCCAACAGCTCTGACGTGGGAGTCACAGGTGATAAAACCCTGTGAAGAAAGCTAGACAAACCACACGGGACACTGAGTGGCTGATTTATAAGCCAGCCCCTTGTACAGTACCAGAGAGAATCCTCAGAAACCAGAACAGCCAAAAACAAAACTATGCACAATGGCGGTGGATGTATGCGCTCTGAGAATGCCTTACATTTAACCCTTTAAGAATATATACCTTGAATTACGCAAGGTCTTCAGAGACAGAGCACCGTGTGTTCATTTTCTATTGCTAACTAACAGCACACCCCAAACTTAGTGGCTTAAAACAGTGACCTTTTGTTAGCTCATGGCTCTGTAGGGCTGAAGTCCAAGCAGAACCCCAGCTGGGTTCCCTGCTCAGAGTCTCACAAAGCCAAGCTTGAGGTGCTGGCAGGACCACATTCATTTCTGGAGGCAAAGGAGAAGAATCTGCTTCTAAACTCACTCAGGTTGTTAACAGCACCCAGTTCCTCGCAGCTATAGGGCTGAGGTCCCCGTCTGCTTGCTGGCTGCCAGCCGGGGCAACCCTCTGTTCCTAGGAGCCGCCTGCCTTCCTCATTCCGCGGCCCTTCCATCTGCAAGGTCCAAGACAGTGCCTGAAATCTACCTTATGCTCCAGATCTCTCTGACTCCCCCTGTGCTTTTAAAGGGGCTCATGGGATTAGATTAGGCCATCCTGGATAATCTTCCTGTCCTAAGGTCAACTGGTTACACAGCATACGCAGCTCTAGCATGGGAGTCAGGTGATAAAACCCTATGAAGAAAGCCAGACAAACGACACAATACACTGGCTGTACAACACACACAGCCATCTGTGAGGTTCACTGTAGCATAACAATTGTGGGAGCGCTATCTCAGCATGTTCACAGGTGCCCCAGATGATGGTGTGGAATCTTGGGGGCCACTGTTAGAACTCTGCCTTTTCACACAAGGTGACCCTGTCCCCTCTGAGTACACCTGCCCTGGGGATACAGAGCATGTGCGGAGAGCAATTCAGAGAGGCTGGGCGCCAAACCCAGGAATCCCACCTCCAGGGCGATGGAGAAAGGTTCCCTGGAGAAGGCCTGTGATGCTGGCCTGGCAAAACAGGAAGGACTTTCTCAGTAGAAACAAGCAAGTGACTTTGGGAAGAGGAAAAAGTAGAGGGAGAGAAATACGCAGAGGTAACCTGGGCCACCCTGAGAAGGGCCTGGAATCTCAGGGTGAGGCGTCTTGAATGTCATTCAGAAGCTCAGAGATCTCCAAAGTGGGGGGACATACGCCCCTGGGGGTCATAAGATCATCCATTAAATGTGGCAAGAAAACATTAGAACCTTTCTTATATACATGTTTATCCCTCTTCTTTAGGTTTCTGCTTGGGGATCTGTTTTATAATGTACCTGATAGAATTGCACAGTGGTACCTGTGTATCAGTGACCTACTGCTGTAAAATGATCACGCCCGAACTGAGCAACTTAAAACAAGGAATATTCATCATCTCACGTAGTTTCTGAGAGTTGGGAATCTTGGTGCAGCTGAGCCGGTTGGTTCTGCTTCAGAGTCTCCCAGGAGGCTGCAGTCAGGATGTCAGGCGGGGCTACATTCATATGAGGACTTAACCGAGGCTGGAGGACCGGCCTCCAAGGTGACTCACTCACATGGTGGGCAAGTTAGGGCCGGCTGTTGGCAGGAGGCCTCAGCTCCTCACCACATGGGCGCCTCCACAGGGCTGCTTGAGTGTCCTCACAGCATGGCGGCTGGCTTCCCCCAGAGCAAGGGATCCAGAGCACAAGAGCACAAGACAGATTTCCTTTACGACCTGGCATCAGAAGTATGGCTCCATCACCTCCACAATATCCTAGTGGTTACTCAGTGTGGCAGTGTGAACACTAGGGGGTGAGAATAATCAGGGTCCCTCTGGAAGGCTGGCTACCACCACATGGGTAAAATTATTAGGTGAGTGAATATATATTGGGGGACACGCACCCCAAAACATTTTACTGCTGAACAACACCTAAGTTACAGACTGTGACTACAGACTACAGGGGCCCCTGAAGAGTTGTTGGCAGGGCAGTGGTGAGGTCAGGTCTGTAAGCTGAACAATGGTCTGGCTTTGGGGTGGGTGATGGGTCGGAGGTGGGTCACTGAGAGGCAGGGAGCTCGGTCAGGAGGCTGCTGAGTTGGTCCCAGTGAGAAAGCGAAGCTTGAGGCCAGAGAGGGCAGGTCACATGGGCAGAACTTCGCAGAGGAATGTAGTGAACCTGGTGGCGGCTGCACATGTGGCGAAGAAAGGGATGGGAAGGGGGCGGTGGAGAGCAGTGTACCTGGCCAGGGTCCAGAAGGCTCCTGGAGACCTCAGAGACTTCTGGGCTGGTGACACTGAAGGCAGAGTCATGGGTGTGGCCCAGGTGTGACAAAGTGCCATGTGATGAGGACACAGTGGAAAGAAAGCAGCCCAGGATGGAGTTCCTGCCCGTGGGAGAAGGAGAGGAGCCTCAAAACCACCGCAAGTTATACAAGCTGTAAAGTGGGTGTGACCCTCAGGGCCAACTCTGGGGACCTGAGCACCAGATTGAAAAAAGATGGTCAAGGAGAAAGGGTGCTGGGGCTGCTATCAGGGTGAGGCAAGAGGGAAGTGCTCTTCAGGCAGGTGGAGGGGGAGGCCTGGGCAGTTGAGGAACAGAGCAGGGTTGGGTGGACAGAGGTGGGCACATGCATGCTGTGAAGGAAGGATGCTGATGACTGGAGATCCCCAGGAAGGATGTTAAGGCAGGGGAAAGATGGTGCAGCAGAAAGAACCTGAAGGCCGCTGTCACACAGATGTGAGTTCACCTTCTCTGGAAAGTGGGTTTAATGCCCATCTCAGACAGTTATGTCAAGGTTAAATGAGCTAACGAGGGAAAAGCACTTAGCACAGTGCCTGGCACACACCAAGTGCTCTGCGCATGCCAGCTACTTCTAGCCTCATCACTTACAGCTCAGCCAGGAGCTGAGTCAGACCTCCAGGGCCTCAGCATGGCGGGAAAAGGGGAAGGTTGGGTCAGGAGAACAGAGCACGTCTCTCCCCAAATCCCAGAGTGTGGTCAGCAACTTCCCCAGGACAGAATCGGGGCCTTGGGGCATCATCTGAGTTAAGACAGTCCCCTCCCCTCCTATGGAGGAAACCTGAGTTCTGAGTCCCCGCAGGCCTTGCCCACACCTCTCAGAGCACTTTCAACCTCATGTTTGGACTAAGCCTGCCTCCCCTCCTGCCCCAGACCCAGAGGACTGGGACTACACCTCATGCCTCTCGGCACCCTCCGGGCTGCAGAGCCGCAGACCCAGCAGACCTTGAGAAGAGGCGACTGAACAAATGAGCAGAGGGGCAAAGAGGAGGCTCAGTGCTGACCTTTCAAAGAGGGTGACTTATGGCTCCCTAGATCTAGCGGCTGGCTTGGGCTTGGGTGGAGATGGGGCAGGAGAGGTTAAGGAGATGCACTCGGGCTGGAAGGCTCAGAACAACAAGCGGCAGCAAAGAAAAGAGGG